GGGAACGAAGTCCCAAACCTGAACGTGGACGGATCCATTTCCGAGGCATAATCCGGGTCACGCAGGAGGTAAGCTGCAAAGGCCGCGCGCACCACACCAGGTTGGATGCGATAAGCCGAAAACCTCCTGAAGGACGGAACCGACGTACCCGGGGGAACACGGAACCGTACCCGGGGAGGGGCCGACACCAAATCCAACTCGTACGCAGAGGGGGGGAAAGAAAACCCCACTCCTTGTAACAATAAGCCCCGCTCAGTGGGAAGAAAAACCCAGGCGGGGTCCAGCGGGGCCCAAGGCCCCCAAGTCAGCCCCTCCCCAGCCTCGAGGTCCGTCACCACAGGACCCGAGGCCGAGTCCTCTCCCCAAGCCCCGACCCCACAAGACAAGGACGGAGCAGCCGGAAAAGCTGGAGGAAGGGGGGCCCACTGGTCAGACCCTGAAGCTTCGGCCGGGAGACAAGACTCGAATGCCTCTGCCGCCCCCCCGGAAGGGGCAACCCCCGAAGCTGCCCGAGTCTCGAGATCAAGTAACCCCTGCTCCGACCCCGAAACCCTCAGACGCTTCGGGGCCGGAAGCAGGGGCGGGGGACCAGAACGAACAGAAGGGGAAGGACGAGGAGGTGCGGACTGAACCAGGATCGAAGCGACCCCCACCCCCAAGTCCGGGTCTCGAAAAGCAAAGCGGGGCAGCCCCGGGGCATCCGGGGAAGCAACCAACCGAGCGCGTTGCAACAGACGAAACCTAGACTGCAACGCACGTGCCGCCTGTACCCGAATAGAATCATCAGAGGATTGGGTAAATTGAGTCACAAGCAAGCAGCAACACTCACAGGACTCAGGGTCGAAAGTATCACCGACCCAACAGGCAGCGTGGCAGAGGCAAAAACAATGAGGGTCACCCTGAGACAAGGGGACCGAGCAACCCTCAAACTCGCACACAGCGAGTGGGGACTCCGGGGTCACATCCATCGGACCCACGCGCCCCCTAGGGGATTCCCAGGGTCCTGAGCGTTTACTTTAAGAGGACTCGCGCTCAGGTAGTCCCAGGCAGGGTGCTGCAAACCGGCGCCCAAAACTACCAAGCAAACTTCTAAAGCTGAACCCCAGGGACGTGTACACTCACGGGGACCTAGCAGGGGGCGCCACCGAGGAGAACAGTGGAAGGGCAAAAACAAACTGGATAAAATGACACAACCCCCCACCAGGCAAAAAACAAAAAGAAAAACAAAACCCCGCAAGAGGACAGCGAACCCCAAGGAACAGAGCCGGCCGCGATGTCGGGAATTACAAGCTGAGCAGCACCCTGCGCCCCTACCAGTGCAAACTGCCTCTTACCTGCCGGTAACAAGGGAGAACAGAACACCCAAGAGCCCAACAGGCGGCCGAAAAACCGAAAGGTAAAACGGACCAGCAGAGGCAGACCCCGAGGAGCCTGTGGAAGGTGGCCCCAAGCCCCAAGGGCAGTACTTACAGGGCACCTAGGGAAGGCAGCCCTAGGCGCATGCAGCCCGAGTACTGAAGATAACTCCTGGCTCTCGCACCCACAAAACTAACACCACACTCAAAGCACAGTGCAGTAGCGACACCGGAGCCAGAGCACACGACCACCGCCAATAGCATCAGCCTCAAGAACTGAGGTGTGGGTAGCCGGCGCGGGGGGTCTGGGGCTCCCCCTTCCCCCTCCCGGGGAGGGGGGAGCTGCGCAGACAGCGGCGCGGCAGTGTGTGACTTCACACTAATTTGCTTGTTTTCGGTTGGGGAGTTCTATCCACTAGTTCGGTATTAGGTAGCAATTTTAACCAGAATAGGGGTTTGTTTTGGGGCGCTTACCTTTCTGGGTGCCTGTTCCGGTCGATGGCAGACATAGAATGCTTCCAACTACACGGGGGCTTCTATAGGCCATTGCTCCCCTTGCCTCTCTGAGGGGGCCCGGTTCTGGCCGTGGTCCCCGGTAGGCCTAAGAACTCCATACACATGACTGATGCCAAAGTCTGACATTAGCATATCAGCCTGGGATAGCTCCGGGGAGCCGACGGGGCTCCCCCCAGAAAATAAGAAAGTTTTCTTTGGCAAACAAAGTGGTGGACGGTTGGAACAACTTAAGTGGGAGGGTGGGAGGCCAAAAACGTCAGTAGTTTCAAAGCGTTATTTGACAAATAGCATTGGGAAAATGGGACACCATGAGCATAGCTCTCATCTTTTAATTACACTTAGGTAATTACACACACCTCTCAATGTTTGCTGATGATGCAAAAATTATGAGAAGAATCAAGACAGATGAAGATAAACAGAGACTACAGAGATAAGACACAGACTCCCACAAACTGAAGGAATGGTCTAAAATATGGCTACAGGACTAAAGTTTGACCTCAATAAGTGTAAAGTAATGAACTTAGGCGAGAGAAGCAGGAGGCCGAAGACAAGGTACCATCTGGGAGGTGAAATCCTACAAGAGTCAAATAAAGAGAAAGACCTAGGGGTTGATATCATACCAAACCTGTCCCCAGCTCACATCAAAAGGATATCGTCAGCGGTAAATGCTAGATTGGGCAACATAAGAACTACCTTTAGAAAGCTGTGTAAGGAATCATTCAGAACCTTGTATACCATTTGTGTCAGACCAATCCTGGAGTTTGCAGTCCAGCACATCCCTGGAAAACAGAAGAGTAAGGAAAGCAACCCGTTCTCGCAAATTTAATAAGTCAATATTGACTTATTAACTACGTGCATAGGTGACATACTTAAAATAATAGATACCCTTAAAAAGATTCATAGAAAACACCGACCTTACCTTACCTTGTTAGTATGTTAAGATAAGCATCTTATTGCTTCGTAATTACAATTATTACCTAACTTATAATAGGTATAGGTTAAGTAATAATTGTAATTACGAAGCAATAAGATGCTTATCTTAAGATACTAACAAGGTTAGGTAAGGTCGGTGTTTTCTATGAATATTTTAAAGGGTATCTATTATGTTAAGTATATCACCTATGCACGTAGTTAACACTTTCGCGCTTTCCGCAAAGGTCACTCAGCCAACCGAATGTGCGCGCAGCGTTTTTATCGCTTAAGCGTAAAAACAAAAATGTGTATACTCTTTTTACTCTTCTGACCTTAGTTCTCATGCTACGTATTTCATTTTGGTACCAACGTGTTCGCAATAAAATTCTCTAGAAGAACATCAGTAAAAAAAGTCACGAAACGTATAGGGATACCAGCACCAAATAAATAACTACGAAGATGACTCGCCGTGAGCGCCCATCAGCAACAAAATGTTTTTACTCTTGGGATTGTAATCACCTCCACACTTATTCTACAGCGTTAATTTTGGTATCAATGGACTCGCAATGAAATTCCCAACACGGTGATATGAATATAAGCGTAGAATAATGATGCGGCCCGCCCGCAAGAGTGTGGGAAGTGGTGAAATTGTTACCCGGTATCGGTGACGGGACGACGCACGGCGCTTTGAAAGTTTATACTTATTTCACTCTCATGACATTAATTTTCTATGTACGTCATTCATTTTTGTGTCAATGTGTTCGCAATAGAATGTTCTATGTGCCCATAGGTAAAAAATATCAACAAAGCGTAAGTTAGAATAGCGCCAAATATAAAACAACGCTGGAACATATCAGTGAGCGTCAAACACACACGAAATGTTTTTACTTTTGTTATGTTTGTCAAGTTTATACTTGTTGCACACAGTTATTTTTGGTTGTATATTGATCGGAATAAAATTCCCTAAACAGACATATGCATATAATACATGATATGGGGGAAGCATTACCAGTATAAACGGCTAAAGTCACCCACCTGCAACCCGTTTGGGACAAAATACCATTTGATCGAAGTTATCCACACCTTTCATGAACTTATTGTACCATGCAGCCTAGTGGTGAGAAAGAGAGCCTCATAGCGCGCAGTTTGAAACAAACCCAAAGTAAATCGGATAAAAATTGAATTTTATACAAATATTTTAAAAGAGGACTCAACTTTATGTCCACTATGCGTTAGCGTTAGACGAAACGGGACGCGCCGGCGCGTCCAGATAGCGCGAAAGTGTTAATAACTGCTACATACAGTACATAGCCAAATTAAGGAAGATAATTACAAAGAAGAGATAATTAACATAGAAGAGGAAAACAAAATTGTCTATAACAAGACAGTACTTATGTAAAGTAATACATATGCCTGTCTAAGGAGGATAGTAAAAACCGACTTAATATAAGCTGTAGCCATGTTTCTCTACTGTTATATACAGTACACAACTTTACAGTACTACTACTGGACCTTATACTGTACTTTATATTTAAAACATCACTGTTGGGGACAGGAAGCCTATACAATACATAGTCTTAACAAGGTCCTCAGTAAACCAACTACTAATTTTTCCAGGGATGTAACCCCACAACATTTGTCTAACTCTCAGGTATCTTATTTATTGCTAGGTGACCAGAAGCATCAGGTGAAAGAAAATGTGCCCAATTATCTCTGTCCTGGCTGGGGGAACTTAATCTGAAACCCTTAGTTTGAGAGCCAACAATGAAGACCCCCGTGTGACAACAGAACCTAGCTTGTTCCCCCGGCAATGTGTTTTTGTTTTTGTTTTTTGTTGGGATATTCCTGCAAAAGCCCTAAGCCTCTGGCTGGCCCACCAAGTGTTGCTCGTTTCTGTTTTACTTAGGCAGAGTGAGAGTATTTATGACTCGGCTAACGTGCACCTCCGGCAGGGCTAACGTGCACCTCCGGCAGGGCTAACGTGCACCTCCCTCAGATGTAAACTAAAGATCCCCCGTGTGCTCAAACCCGATACAGTCGACACCAAACCCCACACATCTAAAAATAATGGAAGTGACGATGTTATGGTACATCCTGGACCATTATCAACTGTAAAAAAAAAAAAGAGAAAATCTATATACAAGGTAAGACTGTGAGGGGAAAGATACAGTATTCTCATGTACTAGTTGAGTCAACCAATGGCGAATGCACAACCACACATCACAGGGTAACAACGCTGACACTGCAGGGAATAATTCTGTGGTGACAGTTCCGAGGATGCAGGCCGAGTTATACTTACTTTGTGTGGAATCCGGTACTGATCCTTGGGTGTCTTTCCCCAGCGCATAAAGAAGACTTCGTCTGCTCTTACTTGGTTGGGGTCAAAGAGACATGAGGCTTCATACGATGTGCCGACTTCACGGATAATATCCCCTGTTGGTTCTATAGCTGAAATATTTGAAATTATTCCCATTAGGAGGCATGACACTGTCTAATGGAAATACTAAAATGTATTGTATACAAACTGAAATGCAGTTTGTATACAATATGCTGTATTTAGTTTGTATACAAACCTAATTCCAATGTAACAGACAAAATCTGATGCAATGGAAGGATTCTGATTTAGTTAGTATATGATGCAATAGATAGGGTATCCTAATAGTGTGTCCCCCACTAGATTGAATTTGTGGTTATGTACATGAAAAAATTACTTTGTGTCATTTACAAATGCACAATTTTTTAATAAAAAACAATCAAATAAATAGCAAGGATAAAATGAAAGGAAAACTGAATATCTTGGAGGGTCTGCAATCAACTGTTCCAATTGAGCAAGAATCCACTGTATACAAATTTTCATCTTATGAGTTTGCAATCTGAAACAACTAAAAGCTTGTGAAAAAATTAGTATGTAACCTGCTAGTACAAGTGTACTGTATCAGTTAATATTAATAGTACAGTATAACCATAAATATTTAAGACAACATGATCTGGATACCAATACAATAATACAAATTTAATTAATGTATGTACTAAAATATATAAAGAAAAATATAATATGCATAATTCATGTGACAGAAGTACAAATTAAAACCATTAAATATAAAAAAAACTTGCACAATGTTCACATCATATCCATTATATTACCCACGTGAAATTTCACCATTCCACATGCAAGATAGTCTACAGTAAGAATCCTTACTACTGACTTCATCTGGGCTACACCCAGGTGAGAACTGAGAGTGGTGGCAATCCTTCCTATACAGTACACATGAAAGATATCCTTGTAAAATTTAACGTAACAAGTTTCAGGGTTCCTTGAGAACCCTCGACCACAATCTCTTCCCCCCCCTTCCCCCAGATTTATAATTTGTGAATTTAGGACCTCCTGCTGGCCCTAGGGAATGTAATGAAACAATCCTTCCTTTGGAAGTCCTCTACTATCATGTGAAATTTTGGCTATTTATGCTCAGCAGTGAATGCAAACCAGACAAATACTTTTTATAATTTACAGTACAGGGTATATATTTATTGTAAAGAGATGAAATGTATGTACAGGTATTAAGTAAGGTCCTCCTTAGTTCTCAGAACAAAGTAATGTTAAATTCACAAAAGGTTTATTTTATCCAATTTCAACACTTATCATAACATCTTTTATAATCCTTTACATCTATAATAGAGAATGTCTGTCTGTCCAAGGTCAAAGGATAGACACCTAGGGCTAGCATCACCCAGGCTGGGGAATGGTCTCGGGGTATGGGATGGACACAGGCTGCTCACTGTCACCAGAATTCAAGAGGAAACGGCATCCCAGGGTTGCATTCTGACCCCTCATGATTTCTAGGTCTGGCTGCCTACACCTTTCTTATAGAAATATATGCCATTATTTACCGATCTCCCGAAAATTAATAGAAATTTCATGCTATTCAAACTTTGACCTCCTGAAGGAGGGAAAAGGGGGCTTTGACAGCTCCAGTGCTCCTACTTCATGAAATCTGTGAATGTGAGATGTTTTGCCTTGAGTCAATAGACTTTAGCATTAGCTTAAATAATTGAGATTTCAGGCACAGTACTGACCAAATTGATTGGAGAGAGGTAAAATGGGAAAGATGGAGGGAGAGAGGGAAGGAGAATGGGGAGGGTGGGAAGAGAAACCGAGCATCACCGCGTACCCTTTCTAGTTTATCTTATAGTATTTAACCGAGAAGTTTTTTTGCGTTTGAGAAAAAATAAACTAAATGACATAATAAATAAAAGCTATAGATCATCACATTAGACAATTAATCTGGATTATTCTTGCTGAATTCTGCAACCACCACCACTGCTGAAGTAACAAAATTACTGTACATTACAATGTACCGAGATGTGTTGAGAAAAAATGTCACCACAGGTAAGGTAACTTGTAAGATTTGCCCCAGATAAATTGATAGATACTGTACCTGAAGTGCAACCGTGCTGTGTTTACCCATCAGTGAGTATGGGGATGCGAGGTTATATGATGTGAGGTTATGGCCTGCTTACTAGGCCAACTGGAGCTGTTGTACATGTTCCTTTATAGTTTAACTACTTTGACATTCAAATTCTGTCAAATCTGGCCTTGTGGATGGAAGTGGCTTCTACAACTTCTTTCAGTGCATTTCATTTGTTGACCACCCATACAAGGCATGAGCATTTCTTCAGTTCATTTGTGTTCACAGCTTACACTTGTGCCTTCTCATCCTTCTTTTCTCTCAATTTAAAGAAGTTGTCTTTGTTTACCTAGTCTATTACCCACTTAATATCTTGTATGTTATGATTGTATTTCCTGTTTCTTTATTCTCCAGAGTTGTATGATCCAGTTCACTCATTCTACTCTCAAAGACCCTCTTATGTATTTGAGGAGGCCTGGTCGAGGACCGGGCCACGGGGACGCTAAGCCCCAAAATAATCGCAAGGTAGGTCTGGCACTAAACTTGTTGCACAACTTTGTCTTTTCAATTTAGTTTTATACTTCACAAGGCACAAATTCTAGACCGGTGCTGCATATTCTAGCACTGGGGTTCCCGGTAGTACTGTACAGTCAAGTTTGTTATCGACTTACCATTGGTTAGTCCGCTTACCAGAACTTACCAAAGGACAACAAAATAATGTACACTTTTTAAATTTGAAAATAGCCACAGTTCAAAAGAAAATGAAGTTGATAGTTGTACTAAAATCTATAGTTAAGATTTAAAGGTGATAATTGTGGTAGAATTTGAAGTAATTTGACTGGAAATAATGGTGGGAGTAATGGAGAAAGCAGTACTAGTGCAGGCATCTATGGGATATGTTAAAGGAAGTGTAAATTTCCTACTATTGGTTCAAAACACTCAATTCACTCAAGACATCATCCAGAGCAACCATCAGGAGGGTTTTATCACCCAAAAACAAATACATATACAGTTATACCAAGTCAGGAACAGTACTTTGTGTTTGACAATGTTCACAATATGTAGTTTTATTAAAATATGAATCGATTTCTTTCCTGGAATGTACATTAATTATTATCGTTAATACTCGTTTCAGAGGTATGTCACCAAACTATTAGCTTACCAGAGCTGGCAGATACGAGGAAAGATGGGAACCAAGTCTCCCGAGTAAAAGGAAACAAGAAACATTCACCAAAAATCCCAGTGTAAGAGAAAGTAGACAAGGACTGACTATTTTAGCATGAATGTTTCACAACGCAGGTGGAAACTAAGCATTCATATGTGCCACAAAGACATTATTAATTGTAGGGAAAAAAAGTAGTAACAATGATATAAACACCAAGACAAAAGACAAGAGTAAAAGTTATTTGTAGATGACATTTTACCTGTAAAGGTTTAACAAAAATCTTACATTTTATGTAAGTTTACATTTAGTTATGACAGCTAAATATTTTCCAAAACACTTACACGAGGTGATCAAAGACCTCGCTGAAGCTCAATCCATGAAAGTACAGTACAACTTTATTGGATAAAATTGAGAGAAAATCTACCCAAGCCATCGACATACTGTACTTTCAAAAGACTCAATCCTACATCCGATCACCCCCCACCAATTCGGTACTTGCAACATATTACAGTACAGCACTTTTAGTGCACCCATATCTTGCTAGAGGAATATGTCCACAAGGTAAATCAACCACTACCTTAGCTGGTCGGCCAAGCGGACAGCACACTGGACTTGTGATCCTGTGGTCCCGGGTTCAATCCCGGGCGCCAGCGAGAAACAATGGGCAGTGTTTCTTTCACCCTATGCCCCTGTTACCTAGCAGTAAAATAGGTAGCTGGGTGTTAGTCAGCTGTCATGGACTGCTTCCTGGGGTGGAGGCCTGGTTGAGGACCGGGCCGCGGGGACACTAAAGCCCCGAAATCATCTCAAGATTACCTCAAGATAACCCACCAATGATTACCCATCAAATGTTCATCAGAAATGTTTCAAACGCTGTACAGTATCATTTTCAGGCAACGTATCACATGCTCATTCATCTCTCAACTTTCACAACATTCAAGGTCTGCACACCTTTTGCTGTGATATGTACTTCTTCAATCCTCTACATAGCAGCGTTAACTTGGATTTACAGCTCTGTCTAGAATCTAAAAGGATGCAATAGAATCCTCAGACATCACACAAGATACAAGTATGATATATATAATAAAAAAGGTTTCTTCATTACTAAATGTTGTGTTCCTTCTTGGAATGTATACACAAAATTTAAACCCTGTATTAACATCAATATCCATACAGCTTAATAATTTGTTAATTTAAGGTCATCACTAAGAAAGGTTGGAAAATATATAACAATTCACATACTGAATAGAATTTAGTCAGCATCAATAGTTTACAGTTAACACCAACAGATACTCATATTTCTTCAATACAGTATTACAAGTGTGTGTGATTTACAGCACTGTACTGTACACTTCAAACCTTCAACTTGAACTTCAGTTGAAATATTCAAAAGCCATAAAATTCAACAGAGCCGTAACAAACTACAATCCATTAGGAAAATTTGGTGAAAAGGAATTGAGGAAAAATATTGTAAATATGAACCGTGGTTTACATTTGCACTAAAAATATGTTTTGTCTAGCTGTTAGTTAATCTATATTGAGCAGTTAAATGTCATATATATATATATATGTAATGTACATTATTTACAGAGTAAAGGAGTGAAAGGAGTGCAGGAGACAGGGCATAAACCAACACCTCTGGCACTTTCAGCTGTTGAAGACAATGACTGTAGAGCAAATTCCAAGAAGAATTTTGTTATCTCTTCATAAACAGATTTACAACTGTATTTCATCTTACAGCAAGACTTACCTACACACTCGGGACCCGGACATTGGTTGGCGCCCCATTTCCGATGTTGACGAGATACACTTTTGTCATGGCTTCGTTCTGCTCATGATGGAACAACAAAGGCAGGGGAAGGTAAAGTTAGGTCATG